TGAGCACTTTCTGTGCTAGAAATGTCAGTCATGCAGTTTTTCTGAGTTTGTACTTTTTTCCTTCGACATTCTACACCTACGCACATATATAGATCATTACTGCTCCGAAGGAACCAGCACTGGGACTCTCCCAGCTTGAAGGAAATGTCAGCATTTTTTGTTTTGTCTTTACCTTTAGTATATTATGAAAAACCCAAAATACAAAAGCACCCTGCTTCTACAATACTAGGCAAAGAAACTGCACAAGTATTTGAGAGAATTAACAGATAATCAACATTTCAAAGCTTATGACTGTTTTAAGGAAGCAGGTCGTGAGAACCTTCCAGGCAAATAAATTAATGTTAGTGCAACTACCACCTACTGTTGAGGCAGATCAAAAGTGTTTATAGGCTTAGCAGAGACCAAAGAAGTTAACTGTTTTCCCCAGGCTCCTGGGTAACTCAGCCTATGCTACACAGTACATAACGGAAAAACATGCATTTCATAAAGCTAATTTTTCATTCAAACCCAACACAGGGTTAGCTTTCACATATCTGACAGTTTTAGAAGCATGTTCATACTATGATATCCAGAGCACAGAAGTTTATTTTGCCATTTCATGTTTTGAGGAATTTCTCAGCCCAGCCTAAGACAGGGTGAACAATTGCCAGTACTGTATTTTAGCTAAAAGAACTAAACAGTCCAGAATGTCTCAAGATTATAAACATGACACTAAGGAAGAGTTACACTCACTCCCAGCAGACAAGCTCATCATTCACGAGTTATGTTGAAGACAAGCAATTGAAGCTGAGCAGCCAACTAAGTACTGTTCTCTCTGCAATATGCTATGTCTTCACTAGGATAAGCACCAATTTAGATAGACAGACTTGCACCTAAATCTGCAAGCTGTAACACCTCACAAGTTATTGTTCCTGGCATCACCTCCTTTCAGCCTATTCCTGCAAATCCTTCACTCACACAACCAGTCAAATTTGGAAACTTGCACATGTGACTTTGGATGACAGGCCCTTCTGCACATCACAGGTAAGGAAAGAAATTTGATGATCATTTTTACGTAGTTTGATCAAACACAGCATGATTAGTGAGCAGAATACATTTAAGCTATGTAGTTGGCCAAATACAAAGATAAGGTTAAAATGAAGTGAAGATATCAAACTCCTCCCTGATTTATGCCAGTGTAAAACCACAGTGAATCACCCAACTCCCATGGAGTTATCTGGATTTACACTGATGTAAATAAAATTAGAATTAGTCTGAATTTGTTTCATTACTCTCATATCACTTTAAAACTTGGGGCATTATATTCAGAATAAGGAAATAAACATGGAGGAAACTCTGACATATCAATAGTACCAACACAATCACAAGCCTAGTTTTGTAAAGTTTCACCATCACTCAACAATCTGCTTGCTTCTCCCGTTGGCCTTCTCACAGATATACCATCTCAGGCTTTTATGTGGGATAGTTCCCCCACTCTTTCTGTTTGTCTGCTGGACTGGTGACCTGCTAGACTCTCCTCCTCCTGCCAACATTTTGGACTAATAGTAAGGTCCAAAATATCATCTTTCTGCCACCACCTCAGACTACTTTGCTAAAAAGTAATCTCCAAAATCCACCTTCCTCCAACAGCCTTCCCAAGCCACTTTCAACCCCAAATGATTGCAGAACTACATCACAGCAAGATAACTTGGCAAAAATGTCCTCCCTTAGAAATCTCCAAATCTACAAGAAATTACTGCTAATAACACTGTTTAATTGGTTTTCTTTGTTATAAAGAGAGTAAGAATCATTTTTAGTTTGTCAAGAAATGCATCAGATAGTGTGTTGTGATAAGACCTATAGACCCTGATCCTGCAATGGGCTGGATGGCTACATCCCTGGGTTCACAATATTACATGCAGGCTCTTGCTTAATTTGCATGGAACTTAGGTGCAGTCAGAATCCAGGCCAGGCCAAGATGCTAATGGAGATAAGATGCTGTGACACTTTTTCAATGAGTATGCCCAGGAAAAAGAGAGTTTGGGGGGAGGCATTAAGAATCAGTGTGGAGAAGAAGGCTAAACTGGCAGCTAGCTGGCCTTCTTTGAATGAATAATATTTGATTTTGATGCCGCAGACCTACTTGCTCATTGCTGGCTCTCACTAACAATGGTCAGGTATCAGTGCTAGTCCTAGCTGATGCTCCAAGCTTACAGGACCTACATTTGCATCCAGCAGTCCTTGATGAGTATTCTAGCTTGATATCCTTCCTGCTCAAAAGTCTTTTATTTGGCAGATCTCCATCACCTATTGTTTCATAGTTGGTAGGGTCGGATGGGACCTGAGCAGATCATCAAGACTGACCCGGCAGGAAAAAGTACTGGGGTCAAACGACCCCAGCAAGGTGTTCATCTAGCCTCCTCAAAGACCTCCAGGGTAGGAGCCAGCACCACTTTGCTTGGAAGTTGGTTCCAGGTCCTAGCCGCCCTGACTGTGAAGTAGCGCCTCCTGATGGCTAGTCTGAATCTACCCTCTGCCAGCTTGTGACCATTCTTTCTAGTCACTCCTGGTAGTGCTCGGGGGAACAGGGACTCCCCAATGCCTGCTGGTCCCCTCTGACTAGTTTGTAACAGGCCACTAGATCCCCCCTCAGCCTTCTCTTGTGGAGGCTGAACAGGTTCAGGTCCCTTAGCCTCTCTTCATAGGGCCTGCCCTGCTGCCCCCGATCATGCAGGTGGCCCTCCTCTGGACCCTCTCAATGCTGTCCACATCCCTTCTGAAGTGCGGCACCCAGAACTAGATGCAGTACTCCAAACTGTGGCCTGACCAGTGCCGCATAGAGGGGGAGGATCACCTCCTTGGACCTGCTTGAGATGCATCTGTGGATGCATGACAAGGTGCGGTTGGCCTTCCTGACCGCATCCCCACACTGTCTGCCCATGTTCATTTTGGCATCAATAATGACTCCAAGATCCTTTTCTGCCTCTGCACTGATGAGAAGGGAGTTCCTCAGCCTGCATGCCCACATCCCCCCACATCTTAGTGTCATCAGCAAATTTGAATAGGGTGCTTTTTACCCCCTCGTACAAGTCACTGAGGAAGATGTTGAACAGTGCGGGCCTGAGGACCAAGCCCTGGGGGACTCCACTACCCTCCAGGTCGAAAATGACCCATCTACCACCACTCTCTGAGTGCGGCCCTCTAGCCAGTTAGCGACCCATTTGACTGTGTAGGTGTCAACGCCAATGAGAATGGGGTGAGAGACAGGGTCGAAGGCCTTCCTGAAGTCCAGAAAGACTACATCCACTGCTACCCCTGCGTCTAAGGATTTTGTGACCTGGTCATAGAAGGCCACCAGGTTGGTCTGACAGGACCTGCCTC